AATTAAAAATAAACTAGCATTCTGACTTGTATACCCACTTCTGGGAGCTTTCTCAAGGTCACTCAATAGCCCAAGTCCAAACCACTCTGGAAATTGTGGAGATAGGGTTTCTGAGTGGGCACAACTAAGAGCCAGACCCTGGGACGGGTCTCATGATTCAGGTAAACACTACCGTTATGGGAATATGCTGGGCCAGCCCTTCCCAGGAGACATTAAGACATTGAGAGCCGGCCTGTGTGGCTCAATGGTTGAGCGTTGAACTATGAATCAGGAGATCGCAGTTCGATTCCCAGTCAGGGCACATGCCTGAGTTGTGGGCTCGATCCCCAATGTGGGGCATGCAGGAGGCAGCCAATCGATGATTCTCTCTCATCATTGATGTTTCTCTCTCTCTCTCTCTCTCTCTCCCTCTCCCTTCCTCTCTGAAATTAATAAAAATATATTTTTTAAAAAGTCATTGAGAATTCCTTATTGGCTGAGAAGCCTGGTTTGTTTAAAATGCTGTCTGTCTCTGTCCGTCTGTATGTAGAAAAATGCGCCACTCCAGCTAACTAAGTGCTGAGATGTATAGCGTGGAAAATAAGTGATCATAAAGATGGAGCTGTGAAGTACAGGTTTTGGGAAAGGTTTCCTGAATGAGCTTGGGAAGGGTGTCTGCAGGTGAACAGGATCTGGAAGGGGCTGGGGCTGGGGGTTGGGGGGGAAGTAGTGTCAGGACAGCATGTTTAGACACTTCCCACTTTGTTCCATTCCTGGGGGAGTTCTCTGCCTAGGTGAGGGCTCCTGTGTGGCTGTGGCCTTTTCTCTCTGTGCCACACCCAAGTGGCACTTACTCATCACCCTCATGCCAGGCCCCAAACTGGATTTGCCACCTCACACCGCCCAGCTATTGAGAAGTCATCTGATGCTTGGGCCAGGCCTGCCATCAGTCATCAAGGCCGGGCCTGCCTCTTTCTTTCTGTGCCTTTCTTCTGCCAGAAGAATTTTCCATCTTTTCCTCTGTCTGAGCTGAGAGTGGGTGTTTCTACCCTTGATAAAGAAAGGAAAAGGCAACTGCTCTTCCCTCTTTCCCCCCATAAGAGACCTCAAGCAAATGGTTTTTAAGCTTAACCTGCTTCTTGTGCTGGGAATGCTGCTCAGTGGTTGGGGCTCAGCTTCCAGGCTCCTGAACACTTTACTTTGCTGTGCCTTAGTTTCCTCATCTATAAAATGGGGATAACAATACCTAATGTCATAGGGCTACGGTGAAGTTTAAATGAGTTAATACAGGCCACGTGGTTTTTTTGGGGGGAAAAAAGCCCAGAAAATGTTAAGTCCTTAATGACTGTTGGTTATCAAGGCTGCTGTGTGTGGCTAGATAGGTGGTGTACTGCTCAAATACACCCGGCGGGGTGGTGAGGATAGGTCCAACTCACGTGCAATTTGCCCAGCTAAGTGCTGAGGCTGTGTCAAGATGAGACTCCTTTTTCTAAATGGAAAAGAAAAAAAAAAAAGCCCCACAGGCTGCCCTACTCCCTCATCCCAAATGAGGGGACTCTCAGCCCCAAACATGGAGTCACAGAGGCTTAACCTCTGAAAGGACTCTCCTCGGTCACTGTTGATGGCCACCCGTCTCTGCTGAGTGATGGGCAGCGCATGCCTACCGAGGAGCTCTAGTTGTTGGCAGGTTCCTTCTGACTTCTGAGTAAGCTCCATTTCCCTGCTGCTCCTAACCAGCGAGTCTCTGAGGCCAGGCAGAGCAAGTCTTTTCTCAAGTGAGAATACTTGGGATTCCTAAAGGTCACAGCCCTGAGCCTCCAGGCCTCTGGTCCTTAGGGGAACTATTGCCTGTTCATTCCTTTCTCCCTCACAAGCATACCTTCCAGAACCTGCACACCATTCCACCTCACCCCACCGTGGACATGTACCCATTTGGCAGTGGTGGTATCCTTCGAAAGAAGAGACATTAAGAAGGGAGTTTCTGTACTCCAGTGGACGAACCCTACTCTTCCTGGGCTGTGCCCAGGGTGCTTGTCACTGCCTCCACCAATATGTGTACCCCCTCCATCAGACAGAACCTCCCCCCACACACTTTCTTTCTCTTTATTGACGCGAGGAATTCAAGAGGGAAAAATACAAAACTAGGTTCCTCCCAGACAGTACCTTCTCAGATGGACAAGTTTGCCGTAAGTCTCTATCCAGAAGTTCCTCCCTGAACTTGCCCTTGGATAAAAAGTCCACCCACATACCCTCCTCTTTGTTTTCCTCATGGGCACTGCAGAAGCTGAGAGCCTATTCCTGGAAAGGTGACAAGTTCTGGGATGATGGCATCCGGTTAAATTTCAGATCCTTGTCCCCTGCCGGCTCGAGCCTGAAACTGCTGCATCTTTGACAGTTCTGGAGCCAGAGGATGGCACTGGAGCAAAAGCCTTTCCATCCACCCAGGGAGTGAGAGCAGAGTCAGTATAACCACTTCACGGTTACCCACAAGTGGAAACCACGAGGTTCAGAATGGCCTGGAGCAGCAGCAGCAGCAGACGCAGGGAATTAGCAAACAATGAAAGCCACTTAGGCTGGAAGGAGGACTCAAAAGCACAGCCTATTATGTTATCAGTCAGGAGGTGAAGGGCAGCAGTTCTACCGTGTGCCGGGCCATTTACCCGTGTAACCTGGACCTGGGCCTTGCACAGGGCACCAATTAGCGTTACCTGGCAGCCTCTCCGAGGCAGAGCTGGTTTATGAAAGGGAAGGGCCCTTGGTCAAATCCAAAAGAGGAACAAGAAAATGGAATACAACTCCGAAACTGATTGAGATCCCAAAGCCCAGGGGCCAGGCTCTGCCAGGTACCTGGTGCTCTTCTAGTTTTGAAAGGAGGCTCCTTCTCACACCAGACAGAGGGGGGAAAGCAAAGTGCTATCACTGAGAGTAAAATATTTTCTCTTCCTGGGGCAGCATTTTTTTTTTTAAAGAGAAGGACCTTCTCCAATCGGAAGCCCTGTCCCAGAGCTTTCAGATGGCACAGAAAGGTGGAGACACTGGGAAAAGGTTGGGATGAAGTTATGGGTCAGATGGCAGAGACCTTGCAACCCCAAGAGAAAGTTCTGCGCAGCGTGGGATCTCCTTAACTAAGAGTCTCAAAGAGGAAGCGGCGGGGGCTTGATCCGGCCCCAGCAACCTCACAGTTTCACTACCCTAAACCGAGAAAGAATAAGCAAGCTCCACTCCTGCTCCCTCCTTCCAGGAGGGGGAAGAAAGCGGAGAGAGAGCTGGCGGGTCCTTCAGCCCCAGTCCTCAGCTCAGACGGTGCAAAGTAACGGATCGTCGGGCAGGAGGAACAAAGACGTGGTCCCGCTTCGGGCGCGGAGAAGAGGAGCCGCCCGCCCGCGATGGGCGCTGGAGCCCAGAGTGGAACGCGGGACCCCGCGCAGCGCAAGGAGGAACCGTGAACCGCAGGGGACAATGCGCCCGGTTTGGCACCGGCGCTGCACAGGGTCTCCAGAGTCAGCCCCTGACAGAGGGACCCGAGGAGACCCCCTCGTCCCGCGTGCAGCCCCGGCACCCCCGCCCCAAGACGCCATCTCGGCGCAGCTCCGCCTCGGCCCCCGTGGCCATCGCCTCCTTCCACCTCCCACCCACGAGGAGGACGCACAGCCTAGCGGCCGCCGGCAGAAACTTACCTTTAGCCTCCGTCCAGCTCGCCGTCGCGGGAGGACCGCGCGGCCCGGCTGCACTCGGGGTCCCCAGGGCCTGGGCGCCGCTGTTTGCTGCGTTTGCAGCGGAGGTCCGGGTGGGCGACTAGACGATCGGGGGCGGAGACACCCCGGCCTGCTCCCGCCTTCTGGCCTCCATCAGCCGCGCTCTAAAGGGCTTCGCAGTTACTCATTTCCTGGATGTCACAGAAACTTTTCCTCCTTATAAGAACAAAACACCCGCCTCTCCTCTCAGCCACAGCCGCTCCTTAAGGAGGAGCGCGCGAGTTAGGGACTCCGGGCCAGGTCCGCCGCGGAGGTCTGTCCATTGACCGCCCCGCCCCCGCCCCCCACTCCCCCGAGGAACTCTAGAGGGGGCAGCAGAACTGGAGTGTGACCAGGAGGGACGGGGTCTGGCCATCAGAGTAAACTGGGGGGGAGTGGACAGGGAGTCGGGGAGGACTCCCTTAAAAGTCGGTCCCAGTGGATGCTCACCTACCGTGCGTTTTCCGCCCGCGCATTGTTTGGGAGTTGGATTCCAGGGGACACCTCTTTTGTCCTCTGGAGGGAAATATAAATACAGAAACAGTGCCGGCCCTTTTCTCCTTTTCGTCTGGAAAAGCTTAAAATAACTCACCAAATTTCATGATAAACGAAGGCATCTTGCCTCTCTCCCCTAGTAACTAAGCACAATGGAAAGCGAGGATTTAGATGCTTTTATCTGCAGAGGGCGCTTTAGTTTCCAAAGTCTGGTTACAGTTTTGAAGTTGGCTAGACCTCTGTTTTAGACGCCAGAGAACTGAGACCAGGAGGGTAGCACCACCCTGGTGGGACTTAGCGGGTTGAAATCCATAACCTATGACCTTCGTGCCCTGCCCAGATTCCACAGCCAGCAGAGGTGACCAGGAAGGGCTGAATTAATCCTACATAAAGTTGCTTTGGGGGAGTCAAACACCAGAGAAGGCAGATTGGGGATGTTAGGAGACCACCCAAGTGATTATCACCATTGCTACTCCCCCTGTGCCCAGACCTCCCTCGGGGGCCCGAACCTCCCTACCAGAACCCATCCATCCATCCGGGGCTCAGACCTACATCCGGGTTCCAGACCTTCATGCCAGGGCCCAGAAGGCCATCCTGGGGCCCAGGCCTGGAATGCATTATCCAGTCCTTTATCGGGGTCCAGACTTCCACAGTAGTCCAGACTACCATTCCATGACGTAGAGGTCCAGCCCCTGTCCCAGGTCTCCACCCAGGGCCCAGACCACCCTCCAGTGCCCAGGCCTCCCTCCCAGGACCCATACCTCCATCTGGGGCTCAGACCTATATCCGGGTCTCAGACCATCATGCCAGGGTCCTGAAGGCCATTCCGGGGCTCAGTCCTCAAACCCAGTATCCAGTCCTTTATTGGGGTCCAGACCTCCACAGTAGTCCTGACCACCATTCCATGACCCAGAGGTCCAGCCCCTGACCCAGACAGGGGGAGAAGGAAAAATTCTAAATATAGACCCCCTGGTGCTTGCTCTGGGTTACTCTTGTTTTCCAGCTTCTGCTGTTACTTACAGCTCCTTCTGCTGCTACTTACATCAGGCACCGTGATGGCAGTTTGGGGACCTGGTTTTGGGACCTGGTTTGGGGAGGCGGGAGTAGAGAGAATCTGGGGAAATAGTCTTGAAAGACATGTGTTTTTCTGCAAGAAGAATGAATGGGAGGTGGGGACACTACACTGCGCGTCACTATACTAACTTGTAATCCTTGGGGTAAGAGTTGAGGGTTATGGATGCTGGAATGCCAAAGTGAGTGCTGGGATACCCTCTTGGACTGTCATCAGCAATTTCTAACCGGCTGTGCATATTTATTTATAGAAGGAACATTGATTAGATTTGTTTTTCTTTTTAACCTGATGATATCCCTCCATGTGGTCTCCTTCATTGGCTTCCCTCTGCTCTCAGCATAAGGACCACTGTTCTAACCTGGCACATGAGCCATTCACGAACTGGCATCTATTTAGCTCCCCGACCTCATATCTCAGTTCAAGTTCCACACCAAACTCCTGGCAGTTCTTGGAACATGTGCTTCTCAGAATGTGATGCTTGGTTTGTCCCCACCCACCTTGGGTATACACATGTGCTTTATCTTCTGCCGGCAACCTTCTCCCCACCTCTTCCTTCACCCCACCTCTTCCTTCATCCTGTCACCCTCAACGCACATTACCCCCCGCCCCAGCATATGTACTCAGTTTCCAGTCTTCAGGTGTCAGATTGGACAATTTCTTTTGTAGGGAGTCTTCCTTGAACACCCACACCTGGATTAGATGCCCCCTCCACCCCCAATGTAGTTTCCATAGCACTTTGTGATTGCTCTAGAAAGGGTTTTTTAAAAGACAGGAAAGTACAAAGGATTCAGTTTCTGGGAACACGAGAAGCCAAGAAGTCAGGTAACCTCTGCTTCAAACACAGAAGTGCTGAAAAAAATCAACAGTTGAAAGAAAGAAAGAAAGGGGAAATCTCTAGGTATGAGATAGGAGGAGGGATAAGGGTATTTGACAGGAATATAAGCCCAAATGGCTAAGGACTGGGAGGTGAATAGCCACTCAGGCCTTGTGTTCTAGAAAGGTAGAGATCTGCACTTGAGAACCCCACTTAAATCGGGGACACTGGAAAGACTCTTAGTGACTGGAGGACGGAAAAATACCAAGAATCCTCCCACTGGTCCAAGGCCACAATGAGGAAATTTGTGGTTTGTCTGGGGCTCTGGATGAATTTTAAAAAACAACTGCTAGCGAAACTGAAACCAGAGTTTGCCTATGCCATTCATTGGTGTGATGTTCCAGTTTACAGTACCCATGTGCTGAGGGAATTCTGAAGTCAACACAGAATATAAAAGCTGGTTCCAAAGTGACTCCCGTGGCCCTGTCAGAAGCAAATGCAAAGTCAGTTGTTTATTCTGATCTTTCCCAGAATGAAGAACTCCCATGGATGATGAGTTTATAATAAGAAATTATAAACCAAAGTAGGAAATGAACTACATGAGGGATGGATCAATAAAGAGAATTAGCCCCTTAAGAACTTGAGACAATGGAACAATTTGCAAGAGACAATAGAATAGTTATGTTCAAAATAATTATAGAGTCAAAATGATAGAACATAACACTATGAAAAAAGAATAAGCAAATTTCAAAAAAACACAAATAAAACATATAGAAATAAATATTTAGTAATTTCGATTTTATAACCTCAATGGTTGGAATTTTTTCTTCCATTAAGTCAGTAATAGCATATTAGCCAAAAATCCAATAGAAATAACTCATTAAAAAAGGGGAAAATGAAGAAAAGTACTAATTTCATTTAAAAATACTGTTTTAGAAAACCTAAATAAAATATTAACACGGAATCCCAGCAGCACATCAAAAGAATATTACATCATGAATAGATAAAAAAAAGAAAAATGGAAAGATCATCACCATAGATGCTGAAAAGCCATTAGATAAAATTGGCACCCAAATGTAAATAAACACTTTTGTAGCATGATAAAAATGAGAGATGAAGTTCACTCCCAAAGCCAATATCATGCTTAACGGGGAAATAATAGAAACCTTCATGTTAAAGTCAGTGTAAGATAAAGAATTCTTCTTTTACCTTTTTTTTTAACTTGTCAATTAGGAATGTGTTTGGTTGCAAGTAATAGAATATCTGACTATAATTTTATGTGTTTAGGACTATAAGAGACTTAAAAATCAGGGCTTAATTTTTAGGTCTGTAGATAGGTAGCTGCATTGGCTCAATGCTTCGATAGTTTGGGGACTGGTCAAAGTTATGTACACTTACTGTTTTGATATATTGCAAAATTGTCCTCTAAAGGTGTGTCACTGATTTGGACTCACCAATTAAATATGAGAATGCCTGTTTATCTAAATCTTTTTCAGCATTGGCTATTTCCTAACTTTAATTAGTTTGCTTCTTTTATAGGTGAAAAAAAATGATATCCCAATGTCTTGATCTGCATTTCTTTAATTATAAGTGAGGCAAAATGGAACATTTTATTTAACGAAACTTTTCTATTTGTAAATAGTCATAAATTCACCTATTTTTCTGTTGGCTTGTTTTTCATGTGTGTTTTTCATGATCTTAGGTGCTAGTTATGACTTCAAATTCCACAGTGAGAGGTGAGTTGTGATAAACACTGGACCAACCATGGGCAGCAACACACTGTACTTCACCATCAGGAACATTGGCGATAAAAACAAAAGAACAAACATGGGGACAGATTTCCTGTTCACCCCCAGCTGTGGTTATCCCAGTAAATGGAATAAAATACATGACAATGGGAGAGACAGGAAGCCAGTGTTAGTTATGAAGGGTCTGATGGATGGAAAAAAAGAACATTTTCCTTGATTTGGCCAATTTCTCACCATCATGAATTCACCTTTGCATGCAATTTTGAGAGATGATAACAAGTTGGCTTACAGGATGTATCATTGGAACAGACTGCTTGGCTGAGACCTCAAAGGTGTCAGTTGAACAGGATGAATGGTTTGCCATGGGCTATTTCTTTACTCAGAGTCTGTCCTGGGAACTCCTCCACCTCCTCTAGGCATGTTGGAGCCAGCAGGGCCTGTTTACCAACATAAATGAAGCCCAGAGAAGTTAGGTCACATATAAAGGTCACCCTTTTGCTTAGAGACAACATAAAAATAGCTAAAACTTACACTAGGTACTAGGCATTACTCTAAGCCCTTTACAAATAACAACTCATTTAATTATCATAACCCCATACAGTAGGTATCATTAGCATTCCCATTTAACAGAGGAAGAAATGAGGCCTCAAGAGGCTAAGTAACTTACCCAAGGACACACAGCTAATAAGTGGCAGAGTTAGGATTTAAACCGGAAAGTTGGCTCCAGAATCTTGTCCTTACCTATGATTCTGTATCATGTTCATAGTAAAGCTCCTTCAAATGTACAACACTGAATTTCCCCCAAATGAGATTACAATAGTTAGAATATTTTTCAAACTGTTTTGAAAGTACATTTTACCTTAGAACCCAATATACTTACACACAAGTGTGTTATAATAGAAAGTTTCTTTAAAAAACAATCCTTAGGTTTACTATTTGTGATATACCCTGGAATATTCCCTCTTTTTCTATTCCATCTCTTACCCTTTTTTTGAGAAAAATTACAGGTTACAATGTACTGAGTCATGATCTACAGTTTGAAAAAATTGCTCCTTTAAATCAACCTTGTTGCTTACAGCTCTGTTA